GAGGCGCTGGGGGGGCCTGGTTCTAGGGGAGGGGTGAGTGCATTGGGGATTAGTGTGTGGCCCCAAACTTGAGGGAGTGGTGCAACTTTTGCTTAACATCTTTGGTCTCTCCCCCCCTCTTTTTTTGGTCTTAACTTTGGTCTCCCCCCACCCCCAACAGATTTTTTTCCCTTTTGGGAGGGAGGTGTTTGGTATTTTTTGTTGCGCTGGGGGGGCCTGGTTCTAGGGGAGGGGTGAGTGCATTGGGGATTAGTGTGTGGCCCCAAACTTGAGGGAGTGGTGCAACTTTTGCTTAACATCTTTGGTCTCTCCCCCCCTCTTTTTTTGGTCTTAACTTTGGTCTCCCCCCACCCCCAACAGATTTTTTTCCCTTTTGGGAGGGAGGTGTTTGGTATTTTTTGTTAAATCATCTAGCAACCCTATTGGTAGGGTCATACTTATAAAGCTGAAAGATAGTGATAGACAAGACAGTTCAGCAAGTGGCCAGAGACACAACCTGGCATGTCAGTGAAAAAGTCAACAGTTTGGGAAGACTCAGAGACAGAGGGAGTATAATGTAAACAGGAAGCATATTTCTCCCTAGTCAAATCAGGAATAAGCCAAACATGCTTGCGAGATGAAGTTTAAGGAAATGTGTATAGGATTCTTGTTTTGTATTGCAGCCCTGTGCACTTTGTACCTCTGTATGAAAGAATAAATGCACTGTTTTCAAGAAATTGAGACACACTTTGATCAGCTGCTGTCACACACTCCCAAATTTGGACTCATTGAGGTAGTCTTTGTTGATATCCAAAAGGCTAGAATCCAGAGCCTGATTTAACAGGGGGAGAACTACACAATTCCACCTCTGGAGAGATAGGCTCAAGGTCTGACATCCCGGGAGGGTGCATTCAGACCTCAGAATGAAACAGCGGGGCTGCTAGTTCAATAACGGGTTCAATAAAGATGAATTTAAAACAATTATTGCTGTGTCAAGGCAGAGATGCAATATTTAACCCCCACAACAAAGAGCAACGAATGGCAACGGTACAAGGAACGTCTAAACAATGAGTCAATAAATACACAGGCATTGACATGCTTTGGAAGAGAACTGTTCAGTCTGAAAAAAAGATATTCATGTGAATTGAATATCGCTCATTTTCCACTAGAGGCAGGTGATCCTGTCTAGCTGTGCAGACAAGAATGATTAGAGCTGAATATTTTTTTTTTTTTTGAGATTTCAAATCTGAAAAAGTTTTGTAACATTTGCTCCTTTTAAGCTAGATCTAGTAATGGGAACTGCCCTCTTTGGCTTGCGTTCACTAAGACTGAGGAGAAACAATTTTATTTCAGTCCAGTATTTGTATTACTAAATGTCACTTAAGATACATGTAATATTTTCAGTTCTAATTTTCATTTTTTGCTGTTAAGCTTTTGCATTTGCCACAGCTTGGACAGTGAAAGGAGGCTTGGCCATAAAGATATCATTTCCAGTCAAAGTAACCTACCCCTTCATGTACTAGCAAAATATTCTAATGTTTGGGCTGCAAACACAGCAGAGGTTCATTTGCAAATTTATTTTAAATTAATCATCATTGTTATGAGTTAGGTTTGATTTTCATGCAAAGCCTCTGTTTTGGGACTAACACACAACTCATTACTCACACTCTAAATATACAGGAGTAACAA